TAAAGGCTAAAAATAGCACTTGTACACTTTAACCTGTTATCATAAAGTAAAATGTTCAGTTGATATTTTTAATTTTATTTTATGTACTTACGCTAATGCACAATGAAAAGGTACATAAAATTCCATAAGTCCAGCATCAGAAATAAAAACTACTTGATTGCATCCAATATTAGTCCCCTTAGACGAAACCCCTGGTGCAATGTAACCACGAGGATTATAAATTAAACGTCCAAATTTGGTTACTTTAAAACTAGTTACTCTCTGACCATTTTGGGTATTGAAAATTTCTATTAAACCTTTTTTGGGTGCATACAATACAATGAATAAAGCTTGTCTTCGATGAGATTCACTAACTTTTTTATGTTTAATTTTTTTTACATCTTCTTGAACTAGTAAAAATCCACATTGAGCATCTCTGAAACCTTACAAAAGTTTATGAAAAATGTAAATATACATATTAGAAAGAAAAAAAAAATTAATTATTTTTGTTTAAAGACTCGATATTTACCTTTCCATAATCTCAATGCTAAACCTGTACAATTTTCAACTAATATAACTCTTCCCAATGAATCGGAAACAGCACAATATACTCCATCGGGAGATAAAATTATCGATTGTCCCTCTCTCCAAATATCACATAATCCAAACCTGCAATTTAATTGCTCTCCATTTTCATAAATTATTTCTTTAGACTTATCTGAAACAGGTTTTTTGTTTCCAAATCCAAACCAGTTTCTAAAAAAAAAACAAAATTTTCATAGAGAAAAAAATTTAGTGAATCATTCAATTAAAAAAACAAATGTGAACTTACGGCAAATTAGCAGTCACACTGCTTTTAATTTTGTTTGCGACAGCCAATGCAACATCAGCTAATATAGGACTGCTTGCGCTTTCAACAGTATAATGAAAACCGATGAAAGGTTTTTTTCCAGTGGTTACAATCAATGATGTTTGTGAAGGACTAGGTCTGTAATTACTTAATTAAGTTTACAAAATTAATTTTCATTTGCTGTTTTTATTCGCCTTCGAAATTCTCAAATATGTTATCGATAATTATTTAATAAATTTACCAGTTAAATCCACCTATTAATGATGCATTTACAAGATGATCAAATGTATTATATGTTGATATAAAAGACTGACCTAAAAAACAAGCATCTGTAACAACTTCTTGATTGGCAAATATATATTTTTTAAAATCCGTTTGTGTAAAACTATTTGAGTCATTCATTTGATTTCCACTCTTGGCAAGATGATTTCTTTTATTAATTAAAATTTGGGACAAATTAGGTCCATTAAAAATACAAATTGCAGTTTTATACAATATATACACATCATTATTATCCTGCTTTAACGTTTTCCCTTGCTGTAGTAAGGATGGGCTATAACATTTAATACCTATTACAGGCTCTTCATGTAGAATGCTCCATGCTAATTCTTGCATAGACTATAATTTAAAAAAATAAAACTTATTAAATAAAGTGAATAATAATATCCAAGATATCAAAACAAGTTTCAACTCTGTTACAAACATCAAACCATTTTGTATTTTTGAAAATTGTACAAAAAAATTTACCTCAGTGTAAAATCTAATATATCCAGATGAAAATCCGACAACTACACAAGTCCAATCTGCCCCTTCTCTTATACTCTGACCATAAAAAAAAAAAGGCAAACAAAATAGACTGGTAATTTTTTCCCTACAAGTAATTTTACAAACTACAAACTTCCATTTAAATACAATATCAATAAACATATTAAACATAAAATATTATTAAGTTAAGTTTTAGTATATTAAAGAGTAAAAAAAATTGAGATGTTGTATTTTTTATGTAAAAAATATTTTACCAATTTCATTAAAATTAATACACTTTGCATTGGAAAAGTTAAAAAAGAAAAATTATAAAACTAACCCTGGCTTACATTGAAGATCTCCATGCCAAGTAGGAGAATACAACAATGTCATTTTATCACTGATGGTATTATATTTTGAACCACATATCAACAGCCAATTTGATTTGGCAAATACTAAGATTTCTCCAGTAGGAGATATAGTAATTTTATAATCAGCAAATAGGTTTTTCGACGTTTCATTTTCATTATCAGAACCTGAACATTTAAAAAATTTATGTAATACCTTTTTTAATGATGATATTAAATAAATAAAAAAAATGCGATAACTTAAATAAATATAAATCAAAATTAATTGATCTAAAAATGATGTCACATTATTACTTTTTCAAGTAAATCTGCTTTGATATCGAAAAGTTTGACGCGCAAATATTAAAAAAATAATACTTACCAGTAGAATTATTTTGTTCTAAAAATTTATTTATACCCTCAAAAGTTGCGGTTACCTGTATTTCACATGACATGATCAAAAATTTAAACTAAAATAATCTTTAAGACTGTGTAAAACATTAAGGAACACATAAAACTTTATGTCAGCTGTTAACTTCATACCCCATAGAATAATTAATCAAGTGTCATTAGAGACAAAAAAATACGAAATAATATTATTTATTCTATGAAATTTTTGAAACGTTTTTTAATAATTTTCTCTATGACTTTTATCAATATAATAAGTACAAAAGAAAATTATAAAATAAGAAATGAAAAATCACATTTTCCTTGCAATCTATTTGAAAATCGATCAGATTTTCTTTCAGACGTTTAAAAACAAACAAGATAAAAAACGTTGTAAATTATTTTTAACCTTTTAGGAAAGCACGCAAAAAATTAAAACAGTTGGAAATAAATTTACAGGAAAATACTCGGAAAATTTTTTTTTCTTTTTCATTTTAACTCATAGTAAATTCAATATTCGTTTAATTTAATTTTATTTATGTCATGTTAAATATAAAGTACAGTTAAGCTTAAGTATTTACAGAAAAAAAAAAAAAAATTTTCCGGGGAAAATTACATACAAAATATTTTCAATTAACTATATCAAAACTATCAATAATTTTCTCAGTCTATATCGATTTTTAAATTTTCTTTTTAATTTAATTTAAAAAAAAAAAAAAAACAACTTAAAAAATCATTCTAAACAAAAAGAAAAAAAAAAGGTTTCTATTTTTGAAAAATTCCAATCCTTCAGGTACTTGAATGTTGAAAAAATGTTTTTTTTTATAGATGAAAAAGATATAAATTTTTAAATCTATCACACTCGAATAATTAAATGACATTTATCATTATTATTATTATTCATTCATTCATTTACCCACAAAATAAAAGGCAGAAGAAAAAAAAATAATAATAATAATTTTTTAAGAATATTTATATATATATATATCTTCATATACAATTTAATCATGCAATGAAATTTTTATTTATTTTACTGTACACTTTGAAATATATAATTTAAATAAACATTAATTATTTATTTATTTATTTATATTATTTTTTATTCATTTACTAAATTGAGAGAAAAATATATAAAAAATTTTTCTTTCATTTTTGTTTTTCCAATTCGTACTTATTAATTATTTATAACGGCTAAGGTGCCACGTAAAGAAAAACCGTTAAATTTTCAAATTAATTTTCTTTTATGATTCCCTAGAAAATTTTCCCAAAAAAAAAAAATTAAATAGTTTTTTAATTAATGTGATTTTTTTAAAATTCGGGAATCAAATTATATATATATTAAAAATTAATTATTTATATAAAAATATAAATTATATAATTTATTTATTTATTTTATCATATGACGTTTTTTTTAATTATAATTTCCTACTACGAAATAATTTAAGAAAAATTTTATATTTTTACAAGTGAGAATGATTAGACAACAAAAAAGAAAGAAAAAAAGAAAAAAAATAATAATAATAGTTTATATAATTGACAAAAACATAAATTCATTCATTTTAATTAATTATTTAATTAAATTAATTAATTAATTAATAACGGTCAAAAATTTTAGACGAATTAAATAATGATAGGAACAATAAACACAATACCAGTCTACGAAATGTTTTTTGTTTGTTTGTTTCGTTTTGTTTAAAAGCAAAGGAGGAAGAAATACAATTATTATTTACAATTGATACGTAATTAATAATATAATTTAATTAAATTTCATTCCATTTAATTCATTCATTCATTCAGAATTTACAACAACAGAACAGAACAAAAAAAAAAAAATTCTAAACTTACTACAACTAAATACAATTTTTTTTATTTATGGTTAACTTCCTCCATTGCTTGTTGACAAACAAACACAAGCTGTAAAAATTGTATTATTTTAAATCATCAAGCAAATAATAATAATAATAATAAACGCAAAAAAAAAAATTTAAATTAAAACACAATAAAAAAAAAAAAACAAATAAAACAACCAAAAAATTCTAATTTTCCTCTTTTTTTTGGTTTACGATAATGATTTTGTTTTTTTTTTTTCCTTCTTTTCCTTCGATACATATTTTATTTTTAAAAAAAAATTAATAATAATAATAATAATAATAATAATAATAATAATAATGATAAATTTACCAACATGCAAAGAAAAAAATAAATTTAAAATTAAATTAAATTGTTTAATACAAAACAAAAAAATAAAAAATAAAAATTTTTTTCTCCATTGAAATTTTTTTTAACTTTGTACTTAAAGCAAAAAAAATATTCCAGGTGATAAGTTTTCACAGAAAAAAACTCCAGAAAATTCCAGAAAAAAAAAACAAAATTAAATAGATAGATAAATAAAATATTTGAAATCTAATAAAAAAAGAAAAAAAATAAATCCTTAACCCTCTAATTTATAATTATTATTTAAATTTAACATCATCGTAATAATAATCATTATTATCATTATCATCATCATCATCGTTTTAAAAAATTATTTATTAAAATCATTTATTAATTTACCTAATCGGTATTTAATTAATTAATTAAATTTAATTTTACGCTAAAATTTATTTATTTATAAAATAAAAAATAAATCTATTTATTATTATTATTATTCCTTTACGTTTTTAATCTCTTTTCTTTTCTTTTTATTTATTATTTAATAATTAATTAATTTATTTATTTATTAATTTTCTATTAAAAATTAAAAAAATTATTTAAATTTAAATTTTTTTTTTTTTTTCATTTTAAATTTTTCGACTAGTGTCACTCGAAACTATTTTAAGTACCCCCTTCCTTAAACACTAGTCTTTAAATTATTAATAATAATAATAATAATAAATCTATTTATTAAAAAATTAAAATTTAAATAAATCATTATTTTAAAATTAATAATAATAATAATAATAATAATAATAATAATAACAATAATAATAATAAATTTCATCTAATTTCTAATAATAAAAAAAAAAAAAAAAAAAAAAAAAACTTCTTTCAAAGCCTTAATTTTTTTTTTTTTAACGGGCAGTTTTTTTTTTCTTCCCCAAATTTCGCCCCACCGCCATTCTTAAAAAAAAAAATAATAATAATCATTATTATTATTATTATTTATTGGCAATCGAGCCAAAAAATTTATAATAAAAATAATAAAATGAAAAATAAAAAATAAAATGAAAAATGTAATTTAAAAAAATTTCTTTCTTTCCTTTTTTTTTTTACATTTTCCACGCGAATAAAAAAAATTTTTTTTCATTAAAAAAAAAAAATTAATTTTTCTTATTATCATTATTATTATTATTATTATTATCATCATCATTCGGTGATGGAACTTTGTGCGAACAACATTGATGATAATTAAAAACGAAAATTTTCAACTTAAAAAAAAATTGACAAAAACATCATCGGTATTTTCACATCATGGCAACATCAAATAAACACACACACGTACACACAAATAAAAAAAAAAAACATACGAAAAATAATAATAATAATGATAATAATAATAATAATAATAATAGCAAATATTCATGCACACACACACAGAAAATCCCACAGATAAATAATTATTATTATTACTACTATTGCCAAAAAAAAAAATTATTTAATAACGATTAGCATTAAATAATAAATAGGGGAAAATGTTTACGACACCAGCAGAAGACAAAAGAAATTAAATTAATTTATATTTTAAACCGTGTGAAAATACTTCGATGTCCATGCAACGCTTTTAAGGTAAATGCCATGTAAAAGTAAAAAAAAAATTATTAAAGGTAAAATAATTGGGTGTCGGGATGGCACGCATTTGCATACGCACACGCACACGCACTATTAATTATTTATAACAATAAAAGCCTAAAAAAAAAATATTTAAAAAGCAAAAAAAAATAATTTGTAGTTTTTCACGTTTGTTTTGTTTTGTTTTTACCATCAAACGTTGCGAAAATTCCAACACTAGAAATAATAATAATAATAATAATAATTTAAAAAAATAGAATAGATTTAAATCAAGTGTAAATAAACTAAATAATAATAATAATAATAATAATAATAATAATAATAATAATAATAATAATAATAATAAAAGTCCCCAAAATGAATTTTTTTTTAAAAAAAAAAAAGGTGGAAAATTTTCTCTTTCCTTTTCCTTTTTTTTTTTTTTTTGTTATTATTTAATTACTAACAAAAACAATAAATAAAAAAAAAATATTCACCAGGATTTTTAAACGATAATAATAATAATAAAAAAAAATGACGACACAAAATAAAAATAATAATAATAATAATAAACAATGAATGAGCGCTACAACAACAAAAAAAAAAAAATAAAGTAGTTTTTTTTTTTTAATTTAAAAATTTTTTTTAGTAAAAATTTATTATTATTATTATTATTGATATTTATGCTTTACGTAATTTTAAAATTTTCATTTCAAGTTAATAATAATAATAATAAATAATAATGATAAATGATAAAATACAAAAGGTGATTCTGCCGAAGACGAAAAGACACTTAAGGGTGCGTCGATGGTTGACGAAATCACTGTTAAGTATTTTATATATTAGGACGACTAGTCACTCAAACCTCGTGCCCCAGAGCTAAAAAATCCCAGAATTATTTGTTAGCAAAAAAAAAAAAAACAAATTTTCTACAATACAATTTTAAAGTTTCTCTTTCTCTCTCTCTTTAAAAAAAAAAACATTTATACGAATAAAAAAAAAACATTGACAAAAAATTAAAATGATAGGAGGAAGAGGAAGGATGAGGAAGAAAGAAAATCATTTATGTACAACAAATGTATGAGGTAATAATAATAATAATAATAATATAAAAAGCTTCATTTTGAATTATATAACTATCATGCATTGAATAGCAAAAAAAACAAATTTTCCGACATTTTTTTTTTTTAAAACAATTTTCTACTGGCTTCTAATAAGAAAAAAAGAAAAAGAAAAAAAAAAGGTCGTACGTGTGTCAATATTGAATTTTACATTAAATCGATTGTTTAATTGATTATTTACATTTTTTTCCTTTTTTTTAACCGTTAAATTTTAATTGGAATTACTTGTTTTCTCTCTCTCTCTCCCTTCCCCCCTTCCCCTCTCCTCCCTCCCCGCGTTAAATTAATTAATTAATTAAAAAGTTTTTTACTTTTATTTAAACTTTTTAAAATTTCAAACTCGTTTTATCATTTATTTATTTATTTATTTAATTCTCTCGCAAATACTAATTTAAAATTAAATACTTAATAAATGTTTTGTCCGAAACTAAATTTCATATTACAAATTTAAATTGACTAATTATGTTATTATGATTATTATTATTATTATTATCAATGGTGAGAGAAACCTTTTGAAAGTATTTATTAAATTAATTTTTTTTTTTTGTCGTTGTTACGAAATTCGAATGATTTAAATAAAAGAAAAAAAAATTATTATGAGATTATTATAGTCGACGACAAAGGAAAATTTAAATTTTTTAATTTAGTTAATAATAATAATAATAATTTTTAAATTACTATGAGAAATTTAAATTCCTTTTATATTTGACCCCGTGACTCAAAAAAAATCAATAAATCACGAATAAAAAACTAAAAAAAACAATGTAAAAATTTTTCAAAAAATCGAAGAGAGAAAAAAAAGTTCATAATTCAAATTTTATAATAATGATGATAATAATGATAATAAAAAAAGAAAAAAATGGGGGAAACAAATAATGTCAATGTTTAAGTAAGAAAAATTTTCCGAAAGAGTCGAAAAAACTAACCTAACTTTTTAAATAATAAAACCGAATGATAAATTATTATTATTATTTTCTTTTCTTTTCCTTAAAAAAAAAAAAAAACCGAAATTGAAAAACTTTTTCCCTTCCCTTCTCCCTCCTCCCGTTCCCGCCCCCTCAAAAACTCTCGTTTATTTTCCAAAAAAAAAAAAAAAAAGAAAAAGAAATCATTCTGTCACTTCCACACAAAATTCATCGATTCTGTTACAAAAAATTAATTTCTTTTCGACCTTTTTTTTTCCTTTTTCTTGCAAATGTCACGTGATTTTTTTCCCCCCGTTAAAAAAAAAACATAATTAATTTATTATTATCAGAAAAACGCGATAAAACACAATATTTAAAAACATAATTTATTAAAGACACCTAAAAATACCACGACCCCTCACTAATTAAATAAGTGTCTGTAATAAACGAAAAAAATCACAAACAAAAATACAATAGACGGGGGGCGGGGGGATTAAAAAAAAAACATAAAAATTATTCACTGATAAATGACCAAAAAAACATATAAAAACACACGCGCGCTTTCAAAAAACAACAAAAACAATAATTAAACTAACATAATTAATTATAATTTAATTTTTGTTTGGAAAAAAAAGCATCGAGATTTTTACTTATTACGATTTACAAAAAAGGCATTAAAAATAAGCAATTTTTTTTTTGACCGTTGATATATAAATATATATACCAAGTTAGTAGTAATAGTAAAAGAAGTAGTAATAGTAGTAGTAGTAGCAGTAGAAAATTATTTAAATAATAAATAAATAAATAAAATTACAAAAATATTTTTAAGTTGAAAACCTTTTTTTTCGTTTTTTTCAATTAGAAGCCAGCAAAAATATTAATTAATTTTTTCAAATTTCTCTCTCCTATCCACCCTATCCTCTTACCCCCTCCCACCTTTATCAATACGTAATAATAATAATAATAATAATAATAATAAATCAGTCTTTTGGAATAAATTTAAATAATAATAATGAAAAAAGGTGTATAGAGCCTTAATATTCGTTCGTTAAAAAAAAAAAAAAAATTGACTAGTTATCGTAATTAATTTCTAACATAAAAGAGATCAATTATTATAATTTAAATTTTATTTCCTTTTTTTTCTTTTTATATTTTCTGCATATATATATATATATATATATATATATATATATATATATATATATAAATAAATATTATATACTTACGTGATAAGTATGAAAGTAACAGAATAAAAGAAATACAAGAATTTAAATGATAAAAAAAAAAAAAAATTTGTTTTGGCTTCGCTTGTTTTTTCTTTCTTTTTTTCTTTCAATATGGCCGCGAGGCTTCTTTCGATCTTTTCAATTGGACTTTTAGCCTTTTCGTTCCGATTTGAAATCCGTTCATTGCTTGAATTGCTGATTGAGCGCTTAAAACATTGTCGTAAGATACAAATCCTGGAAATTTCATTCATTCATTATATTATTAATAAATAGAAATGGGGAATCCCTCCCCCCCAAAAAAAAGAAAAATTGATTTACCGAAGCACTTAGAAAGATTGGTCATTTTATCGATAAAAACTTTTGCTGATATAACGTTTCCGAATGAATGGAAAGTCGTTGCTAAATCCGCATCGGAAAATTCTTGGGGCAAATGGTATATAAATAAATTAGCACCATCCGGTCCTTCTATTTGTTTTCCGGCTCCGCTTGTGATTGATGGTAAACCACTTCCAGCAAACCCTGGAATACAAAAAAAAAAAACAGAAAAATTTTTTTTATTTTTAATCTCAAATTCAAAAATTTATAAAATATATATTAATGATAAAAAAAAATTATTAAATACGAGAGATAAAACACGGCATGCATTCTATCTATTATTATTATTATTATTATTTATAATTTTCCAAAGCCAAAATTAATAAAACTCAGGTACGTAAATTTTCTAACTAATAAAAAAAACGACTAATTTTAATTATTTTTCATCCTACTCCTCCTCCTCCTCTACTGTATAAATAAAATACTCGTTCATTAACAACAAACAAACGACAACAAATTATTACACTACTACAAACGCTGTTAATAATAATAATAATATTATTACGGGTAATG